CAACCTACTCTTCAAGGGCAATACCCCTCAATGTTAAGACGGAATCCCTGCTTATCACAAAAAAAAACCTCAAGCTATCAGTGTGAAGCATTCGATGCTAAAAAGAATTCAATGATCGGCCGAGTAAAATTTTTTCGTGCTAAAAAATTCAATAATTGGCCAAGCAAAATTTCTTTTTTCCCCTCAGCTACTTGGCTCTAGCCGCAATTCATTATTTTCGTATGCGTAAGATCGGAAAAAACAAATTTAACGAATTCTTGATAAAAAAAGACCAAAAACCTGATGGTGTTGTCACTAGATCCAGAAACAACAAGTCGATCATGATACTGCAGACATGCAATGCCACGTCTGTGGCCAGTCATTGTACGCAAAAATTCACATGAATCAGTATGCCAAACCTATGAATAACATCATTAAGGTAAATCGATTACAGCAATTCAAAAAACAAATCTTTTTTGGGGGGCACTTTTTACAACAAAATCAAAATATTTTGATAGCCGGTTGCTCTGTTCCGGAAAGAAGCACTGTAATTTGAAGGGAAGCAGTGTTTTTTCACTCCTAACTGTAATCAAATTTCCAATTTTTATAGGCTTTTATGCGTTTTGCGCTGTGTAACAGCAGAACAAAACACATATTGTCGCGGAGTTGTGAGTGTGTGTGTGTGTGTGCTCGCATGTGTGTGTGTCCAAAATTTTGTCCCGCACTTTCAACTCGAGAACCACAAAAGCTGGGCGGCTGAAATTTTAGCAAAATGTTCTCCGCCAACGTGTGACCCCGCAAATTTAAATTCAGCCTTCTCGTGCCCACGAGTAACACATACAGCCTCGTAAAAATTTTGTCGGGTAAAATTATTATCTCGGGAATCAGAAAAACTAGGAAGCTGAAATTTTATGGGTATGTCCTCAGCTATGTGCGACCCAGAAAACTTAAATTCAACCTTCCTTTGTCCGCAGGTAACACTTATGGCGGCCCCGTGAAATTTTTGGCGGGGGAAGTTATTTGGTTCTTTTACTTCGTTTTTGGTGCAAACTATTGCCATTACTTTCCACTTCGGACTTTTCCTCAACTGTAATCGACTGGATGTAATTCGGAAGTTAAATTTTATTTTGAATCCATCCATCTGCCATCCAAACAATCATAATAACCAAACTTGAATTTCTGCGTTATTCTATAGCTTCTGTGGCGAATTTCTATCAGTGATGTCGGCATATTTGCATCGCTTCGCTGTTCACTTCTCTTTCTCTCTCCCTCGCGAAACTCGGCCAGTTTCTCCAAGCAACTGCATCGCTTGACTGTTCACTTCTCTTCCTCTCTCATTCGATGAACTAGGTCGGTCCTAACTGCCTCGCCGTTGCTAACAACATTTCACGCACGCGGTAAGAAAAAAGCAAAACACCCCAGCACTCACCTTTATAGTTCGATCACCCGATGCCGAAACAATATATCGGCTATCAAAATCAACAACATTGACGGCAGCACGATGTGCAACAAGCAAACGTCGTACGGTGATGTTTGTTGGAGAAATCATATCCCAGACGGCTATCGAACGATCTTTGGAGCTAAAATTCAAAATTTCATGCTTTTTAACGCTCGTGACTGATAAAACTCACCGTAAAAAATTCAACAAACTCACAAGGAAGTACATGCACACATGAAATAATCATAGAATAATAAAACAGAATAATAAACCACTTCCTTTCCTCCTTTGTCTTCTTTCGGAAAATCAAATATTCGTTCAAACATGGCGGAATGGGGCACTGTACTGATGATTCTCACCCCATTCCGCACTGGCTCTGCCGTCTGTGTTTACCGTTTAGGGATGAAACACAGACTGGACAACAGCTAAAGCACATACAGGCTCGATTATCTGGGTATCTAAATTAGCACTCCCTGCTTTCCCACAACTGGTAATATTCGACTGTGTGTCCCTCTCATCGGCGGGCCTTTAGTGTCAAACAAACTTGTGTGGTTTACATTTTTCTCTTTTTTTTAAAAACTTCCAAAACACTTAAGTAACACAAAACAGTGAGCCAGATACAATAAGTTGTTCACTAAGAGCCCCAAAGAAGGACAGGAGGCATGAAACCTTTCCACTAAAATTGCATTTTTGAAATTTTTTCATAAAAATTTCATCTTACGCAAAAGAATTCCTAATCGGCTATGACAGCCTAACGATAGCTTCGTGTTAGCAGTAACCACCCACCCGCACGGCAGTCGATGGATTATCTTTCGACACGAAACATTTCTTACAAGATATACTGTATTTTACAAGATTTTACAACTTTCACTAATTTCTTAATATTATTTACTTTTGTCTTCTTCCAACTTTAAAATATTTTCCTATCCGAGAAATCTGCTTGGAATATTAAGCCGATGAGAATGTATTTGTATGTGCGCATGTATACATTGTGTGCCAGTCCGGGAATTTCAACTCGGCAACCAAGCAAGCTCCGGCGCTAAAATTTTACCACTGGGTTTCCAGGTCAAGTGTCACACTAGGACTGCGGTGTGCACGCCTGAACCCAGCGTACGAGCGTGTGAAAATTTTGGCGGGAAAACTGCTGGACCGGGAACCGGTCATCCCCAAGCTGTAAACCTATCTGTTAGGAGCGGGAAACAATCAGTACAGCCTAGCATCCTCCATGCAGGAGACAAGCAAACTGATGGTAAAGCATAAAAGTGAAATTTTACCAGGTGACCATCATGCCATTCTGAAATCGTAAATGCAGTACAGCCTCCACGTGATGCATAAGCGTGTTCAGTAGATTACCAGTATGCACGTCCCAAACTCTGCAAAAAATTCCATTGACTGTGTGGTAAACTATCATAAAGATGCTCTTCAAATAAAATTCATGCAACAGCAGCACTACTGGCAACGTTGATTCGCTCAGCACCATGGAATAAACACGCAGGAGAAATAGTTGAAGAGAAGACGAGGTCCAGTCGTACTGACGAGGTCCAACTGTGGTAATGGTAAGAAATGCAAACGACTTAATGGGCCGAAACATTTCTTACCTAATTTATTACTTCTTTTTTTTACATCTTTCCCCTTTTTTACTCTTTTTTGACCTTTTCAATCATCCATTTCTACATTTTCTA